GTGTGTGTGTGTGTATATATATATATATATATATACACACACACACACACACACACACACACACACACACACAGCTACTATGCAGGCAGTAAGGATTACATTATTGCAGGGCACACAAAGCAAAACTGTATTAAAATGACTCTTCATCTTTTTCAGAAAGTATTTTTTATTAATACTTTATTACTATAGGTGCAATTTTTTTTTACATCAAATGTCTCCATTTCTGTATGATATTACCAAAAGCTTTATCAAAACACTATTTGCTCAAACACTGATATTTCCTTTAGACAATGCAAATATAGCTTTGTGATTTCTTTGTACTGGGGGAGCCATGTAGTAGAACTTCTTTTTTTTAATTGTGTGTGTCTCTCTTTTTTTTTTCTTCTTCTTTCCTTGCTGCGGAGAAGCTGACCTGTTTTCATCTTTCTTATTTTCTATTTGTCCTTGTCATTAATTGAAGTTTACATTTTTACTTTTACTGTTTTTTCACATGGGAATAATGGAGATTAGAGTCAAATCATTAAGTGGCATCCCTCTACTTACAGAAATGTAACTTTTTAATATCCAGTGGTGTTTCTGTGCTTGCTTCATTAGCTGAGGGTTTAAAGGCAGAGGGAGTTGGACTTCCTCCTCCTCCTAACCCGGCTCAGGTCCTTCCCAAACCCATTGACCCACACAATGGCAGAGATCACGCGCCCGCTGACATTCCACGTCACCGTCAGAGTGAGTATTAAATTGTACAAAGGTGGGGATGGGTGCAGTTTCTGAAGATGGCGAGACAAAGCTTCAGCTATCCACTTGCTAAGTCGCGACATATCAAATACTGTTTCCTGGTTCAAGCCTCTACTCTGTTTCAAGTGAGAATACTATCTCAACAGACATTTATGAGCACCATTCATTTATAGTGCACCTCTAAGTTAAGTTTTCTTCTTTTCTTTTCTTTTTATTATTACAATGTTCACTACAGTCTCCGGGCATTAAGTGTCCTGGACATTATTATTTAAACAATTCAGAAAAGGTGTCAGACATTTGTCTGATAGTGTTTGGACCCAGAAACTGTGACACATGACTTCAGACTTAGCAACCGGATACTGATATTCCCATAATCTCTTAACCTCAGACATCACATTTACGTATAGGTGGTTGGCAGTTTCCATAAGGTGCTGATGGTTACCTTCATGTCTTTAGGCCCTCCCATCTTAAAAGAATAGTTCACACATAAATTGTCATTCAAAACCTGATTTTATGCTTTGCGTAAAACACAAAATGAGATATTTAGCATAATGTTTTAAGCTGTGGAAGGTAATTCTTTCTGTCAAATTTTTGTGTTCCACTTAAGAAAAATAAATACGGTTTAAAAATGACATGAGGCTGAGTAAATGATTTTCATTTTTGGGTGAACTATTCCCTTAAGGCTCTCTCTGGGGTTTGATGCAACAGAAGGTGGCACCATTCAAGCTAGTTCACAGCCTTAAATCAGTTCCTCTGAGGTAGCAGATGAATGTGTGTATATGAAGCCCAGGCAGAGCATATTTGTGTGTGAAATACAGATCGTAAAGCTGTATGTTAGATTGGGTTCTCTGCTGATTACAGCGATGCCTGACTTTGCTCCATCTGCTAAACTCCTCCACACCACCATCTACCCCATCCCACCCAGCCCTCCTTTCTTCTTTGTGAACTCCTCTACCACCAGCTCCATTCCTCAGTTGTCCTCAGTTGATTTTATTTTCTTTGGGCCTAAATTATGGCATAATCAGTTACTTTCCATGTAGTCTTATTGTCCTTTCTTAGCTCTTTATTCTTGTGAATATGCTTCTGATCTGTCTGCCTTTCTGTGCTTTCTTTTACTATCCCCATAATGTCCTTCTTTCCTTGTCTTTTACTACTTTCAAATTTAGCTCGTTCCTTTCTTTCTCTTTTCTTTCTCTCTCTTTCCTGATTGGGGCCCTTCTCTGCCTCTGCAGGCCGTTTCTTTGATGAAAATGAGTCCCCTGTAGATCCGCAACACGGCAATAAGCTGGCGGACTATAACGGGGATGATGGCAACGTGGGTGAGTATGAGGCGGACAAGCAGGCCGAGCTGGCCTACAATGAGGAAGAGGATGGTGATGGTGGGGAGGAAGACGTCCAAGGTGAGCCAGGGGGAATGCGACTGCTTTGCTATTCCGTCTCCTCTCCCCCTCCCTTGTACTGTTGCTGTGCTGCTAAATTAATCTGCTGGTTCAGTCATCATGAGCTCACAGCATACTGAAGTACCGTCAGCTTGTTTGGCCTAATGCTTGAAAGGCTTGTGGAAGGGGTCAATAGAGGAGGAAGCCCTCACCTCAGTGTGCTGAGAGCGTGTGTTAATGAGAAAGTTGTGAATGTGAGCTACTTAACCTTAAAGGGGTCATTTGATGTTGCTAAAAAGAACATTATGTTGTGTATTTGGTGTAATGCAATAATGGCAGCAGCGGCAACAGCGAGAATAAAAGTTATTCCGCCTTTCTTTGCGTGAACATTTGGGCAGTGTTATGCAAATCTTCCCACATCGTGACGTAGACATGTGGGGGCGTGTTAGAATGAGCCGTTTTAGGTAGGTGTGGCTGACTCTTAACTTTTATAAAGAATATCTCTTTGGATTTGAGACTTTAGTCTTTGCAACTTTACAGATCTTCTTTATGCACCAAGAGCTTGTGGAGTGGAACACTCCAAAGAGAAAGGACAAATTTAAATTGCATCATATGACCCCTTTAATGGACCATGTGGTTATGAGACTGAACCTTCTCTCCCAGCATGCCTCATTCCAGTCATTGTCTTTACTAATCAGTGTGTTTGTGTGTAGTTATTGTGTTTTCACTGCATGTGAAAGCCATAACACCTGTGTTAAATCCATTTCACTAGGGTTTTGTGGATATTGTAAATTAGTTTTTTTTAAACCCGTGTTGTGTAGACTGGGCCATCTTTTTGCATCTTGCCAATTTTTGCATTGGTATCACTTAACACTTGTGACAGTTGTAAACCCTATGTCTCTTAGGCCATGTTCACAATGCAAAGTCTAGGGACTGACAACCTCATGTAAGTGCAAGAATTAATCCTGTAAATTTCGTTCTGTGTGTGTGTATACCATGGTTGATATTAGAGCTGCACGATATTTCTTCATAACCAGTATATTTGTGATAACTCGAACAATTTATTAATGTTACGTTTTCTGGATGATTAACTATATATCACCAAGTTGAGAGTTGGTAGTATTTACATATGGTTTATTTGTTTAATTGATTTTAAATGACATTCTCAGATTTGACATTATATTTTTAATGTAATGCTACAGTAAAAATTCTGTTGTGCACTTTCAGAAGTTATGATATATATATATATATATATATATATATATATATATGTATATATAATGTCATATGAATATTTATATATAAATATGAATATGTATTACATATATTTCTTAAATATATACATGTATGTATTTATATAAAGTATATACATATAAATATACACAGTGCACACATATATTATGTAAACACATACTTTTATTTTGGAAGTGATTAACCCTAATTTACAGGATTCACACATTTAAATGTGGTTGTCACTCCCAAAAATTGTGCAATGTGTATGTGGCCTTAGTAGCTTTCACTGTTTCTAGGCATATTTTTCTTTACCCATGAAAGTTACGCTAGTTAGTTAGTCAGCCATTGTTGTGATTGATCACTGAATTGTAATTATCTCTGTTGTTGTATCTTTCAGACGATGAAGATCGGGAGGCTCCAGGTGAAAGGGCTGTGGATTATGGAAAGCGACATCAAGCCATTGATGTCCTGTAGTTCAATCCCTCACAAATCCTTTATGTTGAGTTTTGGATGTTTCTGACAATGAAGTAGCCAAGCCAGGAAAAGGAACTTTGGATTTCACCTGCGATTTTGGTATAATGATTGGAGACATTCAAACTATTTCAGTGTCTTCAGAGAGGAACGAGTTTCAGAGGTTACAGCTGTGAAATCAGTGACTGCAGATGAGTGTTTTATTCAACCTAAATATGACCGTGATTTCATAATCTGCTGCAAATGTTTGCTTGCACATGACCTGATTTGAGAGTATTGTTTTAATGGTGTTAAAATGGTGTTGTTGTTTTTTTTTCCCCCATCTGTAGCACAGGTGTATCAGAATTGGGATTTGGAACTATTATTTTGTACAAATGTCTTTTTTGTTTCTTTTTTTTCTTTTGGATAATAAAATAACTTCTCCAGGGATTGGAGGACACAACTGTGAATAGATAATACGGAAGTAATATTTCTCTGTTAGATTCACAAAGTGGAACATATTGATACTACTGGTGAAAAGGACCTCTACAACACCAGTTTTCCTTCATTTTTTTTTAAGAACTGCTAAAAAGCATAATCTCCCTTTAGCTTTTTGGACAACTGTGGCATAAGTGTAAACTATGGGAAGATGCAATTAAGTTGCTGTTCAACTTGTTAATCTCTCTGGTACATAATGACACTGATTGGCCAGACGGGGTTGTTTTTTTTTTTTTTTGGAACTACTCTGATTCTAATTCTGAAGGAGCACTTAGAAGTGCACATGGAGTCTTGTAAGGACATTGTTGCATGCAAAAGGCAGCCTTTGTAAATCAGCCTGTAGATCATCAAGAAAATGGAAAAAAAGCAGTACTTGGTGCCACAGACTAAACTCATCACAGCTATTGGCCTGCTTCCTTTCTTACTGGTAGCTGTAGATGTACAGTACATATAAGGAGGAATCTGTGTGGCAAGGAATGCTGTAAAATTGCTAAACTCTCAAATGAAAATAATGATTATAGACCTAACTGTTTGTGTTTTTCATACTCAAGCAAAATTTGGTAGGGTTGGCATACTGAATGTACTCTTATAGCTTGTGATTGTTTTTGAGATCTGTCACATGGGTGTTTGGGCTCTCTTACACAGCTGTGCAGTGCAATCCAAGGATGATGATTAACAAATTGCTCCATATTTTAAATAAACTGGTGCTGTTTTGGGAAAAAGTGCAAATCCTATCACTGTGACTGAAGTACGGAAAGTAGTAGCATCAAGAAGGGCACCCAGAAATTTTCATTAAATTGTCCCAGGCTGCTTTACAAACAAAAATGATTACATTACGGTAACAATAAAATATTTTTTTCTGTATAACTTTTTACTGTCTGTTTGCATTAAGGACGTTTATGTACATTTGTACCTATTCGCCTTCATATTTCAAAATATTTTGTTCTAAGACAGGGGTGTCAAACTAAATTCCTGGAGGGCCAGAGCCCTGCAGAGTTTAGATTCAACCCTAATTAAACACACCTGATCCAACTAATCAAGTCCTTCAGGCTTATTTGAAAACTACATTGCAGCAGGGTTGGAACAAAACTCTGCAGGGCTCTTGCCCTCCAGGAATTGAGTTTAACTCCCCTGTTCTAAGACCTATAGCTATAGGCCAGTGGTTCTCAAACCTGTCCTGGAGTACCCCGGGGCCTGCACATTTTATATGTCTCCCTCATCTATCACACCTGATTCAACTCATCAGCTCATTAGTGGAGACTGCAAGACCTGAAGTGGGTGTGTCAGATAGAGGGAGACATACAAAATGTGCAGTGCTGGGGGTACTTCATGGAGAGGTTTGAGAACCAGTGCTATAGGGAATGCCTTCGTATCATGATGGCATCTGAAGTAGAATGGGACTAAAATTCACTTAATTCAGGAATATACAGGCATTCCGCCGAAGTGCTTCGTAACGGTATTGCCATGACAACAGAACGTGTCTTTCCTTCTCATCTTATACCCCGTGTGCTCGTTCTATTTTTACTGGCTGCTTGTCGATATGCTATGCATAAATAAATGCTAGTACACCGTTAAGCTGGATTGAGAAAGCCAACCTGCTGATATTCTATTTAAGATTACTATTGTTGTTGTTATTCTGAGACTACATTTCTAAATGCATCTCTTAGAGCAGGGGTCTCCAAACTCGGTCCTGGAGGGCCGGTTTCCTGTAGAGTTTTGCTCCATCCCTAATTAAAGGGGTCATATGACGTTGCTAAAAAAAGAACATTATTTTGTGTATTTGGTGTAATGAAATGTGTTTATGTGGTTTAAGGTTCAAAAAACACATTATTTTCCACATACTGTACATTAGTGTTTCTCCTCTATGGCCCGCCTTTCTGAATCACGTCGATTTTTACAAAGCTCATCGGTCTGAAAAGCGAGGTGTGCTCTGATTGGCCAGCTATCCAGTGCTTTATGATTGGCCAAATACCTCAAGCGTGTGACGGAAATGTTACGCCCCTCACCATACTGTGATGCCATGTCCGGCTGGAGCAACGAGACAAAACCAATAAAACCCATTATAAACGAGGCATTTGTTGCATCCAGTGGGGACATAATTAC